TGGAGCCACAATGTGTTAGTGCAGAGCAGGCTCCCTGTAAGCTCAGGCGTTATGCTGATGGTAAACCTTTCTAGGAAACTGAGAGCTGTCCAAACCCCTGACTGCTGCAGGAACAGCATCTTTAGTCCATGTCAGCAGAGATTTAATTACACACGACCACACAAAAAGACCACAGACACACACTCCAGGGACGTGTCAGAAGGCAGAGTCATGAGTGGTCAGAGGTGGAAAACGGGTCTCTCATGGTGAGTTTTTCAGCTCTGCAAAGGAAGCTGAACTTCCCTCCATTTTATCACAGCCCCACTTTCATTATTGGGCTGCCAAAATGGAGGTCTGATAGAGTCCACCGCTGATTAAAGGAGCAGTCCACTCAAACAAAAAAAAAAAAAAGAAGAGAAAAAAACAGGATAAACAAGAAGAGCTGCTTTCTTTGCTTAAATCAGCAACTGCAGGAAATCAGGTCATTTGAAATCAGCATGTTTGTAATTTCACTTTGGGATAGATTCATACAGAGGATTGATATCACAGATTGAAATAAAAAAACATTAAGTCATGACTATTTTTGGAGAACTTGCATCATAACTTTTGGCCCAGGGCTTGTATACACACCGGTCTCACAGAGGGGGTTTATTTCATGGATTATTCAATCTCCTCTTCATAGAAAACATCAGTAGTAAGTAGCTGTACTCAGGTTTGCATGTCCAACTGTCCTTAGAAGTCAGAAATTGGATCTAGGAGTCATTTCAGGTCTGATTTTAATATTTTGTAGTTTAAGGTCAGGCGTTTTTAGGACCAGCCGACTGTCGCCGTAACTTCTATTAGGAACGCATGTTGATAAATAGGGATGGGTAAAATAATAGAGAAATCAATGCAATGATTTAGGAGCTCCTCCGAAATTATGCAACTCCTTATCCCTGGGGGGCGCTGTGCTTCCTCCAGTGGGTACCAATCTGTTATTTGCACTCAAGTCTGCATTAATATCCACAAATACGCCATTTAAGTGCATTTTATATTTAGATCATCACTGTGAGGAGATAAGGAATCCTTTTGTTTACTTAAAATGCACTTTTGTTTTTTTTGTTTTGTTTTTTGTTTTTAGAAAAAAAAACTGTTTCTCTTTTATGCACATTGTGCAAAGTAGCTCTAGAAAATGTGCCAACTGAAATGTTTATTTGCTTAGAAATTTGAGGTCACTTTTATACGTTTACATAGGCAAAATAAATGCTTACCTAATGTCAATAGGAACTTAAATAATTTTAGACTTTATACTGAATAAAAATGTAATCAGTATTGAATCGATTCACAACTTCAATAATCAAAATTGAATCATGAGGTTGCTAATATCCAGCCCTATTGATGACTGTTTATTTCTCTCATATATGAAACTCAAAATTTAAGAAATAAGTTAACCAACAGAGATCGAATGGTCGACAACAAGGTTCTTTAGTTCCGGCCATTGAGTCCAGTTTCTTTTATTATGGCAGGTTCCAAACAGTTTATAGGTGCATACCACCACCTGCTACACATTGGTGTTTAACAATATTTCCCACCCACTGACTTCTATTGATTCATTTTGTGTTATGCAGAATAATAAATAATGTTCAGCCGAGACATCTCTACTTTAGAGGCAGCGTCACTGTTCCTAAATGTGTATTTTTCTAAAGAAGGTCCTTATTTATAATCATTTAATAGGCTTAACTGAGAAATTATTAAGCAATACAATTATCATCACTTATATTCCATAAATATTTCCCTTATTTTGAAAGGTTAGAAAAAATGTGATTAATTAAAACACAATGCTTACATGAATTTAAGGGTTTATACACATTAATTTATTATATTGTGATTCTGGACACCTAAAGTAATGTTTAATTAGATTGGTTACATTTTCTAAGTGTATCATTAACATTGAATAAAAATTATTCCCTTACTCACTGATCTTTAATGGAAATTGACTTTTTGTTTCAAATTACCCACCAAAATATAAAGCAAATGA